GTCCTGCTCTTGGTGGAGTCGAACTGTCGAACTCGTACCCATGTGGCTCGGACACATCAGCTCTCACTCCATAAAGTCTATTCTTGATAGAATTGAGCCTATTTACACATCGAATTCTATTCCCGCTGGATCCCTGGATACAGCCTCGTATTCAACCCTCTGGCTCCCTCAGTGCGCGTCCTCTTACCTGTTTGGGCTTGAGTTAGGGTGAAACTTCCAAGCTACTATTATTATTATTGATCTGCAATCATCCCTGTCCAGACCATCTTGATCTTCATCTTGACATGACCAATCGCTTGAACTTCGGGTTGTTCTGTCGGTGACCATGCAGTTGTATGAGCTGAATAGAGATGAAGCAACGGCGCCTTGGAATTACATCGCCGAAGTGAACTAGTAAAATAGTGTGTATACATTGGAAGTGTCTTTCGCATGCACTTGAGAGAAGACCTCGGAACACATGAACAACAAAGGTAATCCCCGATGTCGTGATGCTGGCACAACCATGACGTCGTCCGTCACCTATCTCCATCGACATCATGTCTTCGCTGAAAAGCAACGACAAGATCACAGCTCAGAATGGGCAGATTAAGCCCAAACCGCTGCTTCTCCCTTGGATACAGATTTTCATCCCCTCATCGACGAGTATCCCTCTATGCCAATGGTATGATCCCCTCGACCTACCACATCTCGCCACAACTGACAAGACCAGGCAAACCAGCGACCGAAGACGATCTGTTCGGGTACAACAAGGGCCGCTTCCTCGTCAATGAAGGATACGAGCTGGCGAAACGGTACTCGCCCTTTGACATCCGCGAACTCTGCCGCACGGTCTCCGCGCTGCCTCGCGTGGCCGGCTCGCCCATTACGCGGATCGAGAAGAAGGAGGGCGGATACAACAAGGCGCTGATGATGACCGCGGAGAACGGGACCAAGATCCTGGCAAAGATCCCGTGTCGAAATATCGTGCCTCGATGGTACGGGACTGCATCAGAGGTGGCCGTCTTGGAGTTCGGTAGGTTCTGCGTCTCGGCTACCTGGGGATGCTGACCGAGCAGTCAAATCGCACTCGACCACGCCCGTCTCGGACGTCCTCGCGTGGTGCGCGGACGACTCCAACCCTGTCCATTCGGAATATATCGTCCTGGAGCCGAGCGTCGGCAAGCCGCTCACCAAGGTGTGGGACAACCTGGCCGAGCACGACCGCGTGAAGCTGATCCGCAACTTTGCCTCGCTCGAAAGCAAGTTGGGAGCTAACAAGTTCCCCGGCTACGGTGCCCTGTATCTGCGAAACGCCCTGCCCCCGGCGCTGAGACAACCCGGCCGCACCATCGACGTGGACGAGACGTACTGTCTGGGCCCGATGTACCACGGCTCCTGGCCCGGGGGATTCGCAGCGAACCCAGACGACTATGCAAAGTACTCGGGGCCATGTACGTCCTATCTCTGTATCTGCTGTGCGGAATAATATACTGATGTGGCCGCGAATAGGGAGGACCCTCGCCGAGCTCGGCCGCGATCTCGTCCACCAAGGCATCTGCCAAGTACGCAACTACAAGACCTCCTACGCCGGCCGGGGCCCGCACTACGGCACGCCCGAGGAGCATCTCCGCGTCCTCGAGACAGTCCTCCAGGTGATGCCCATTCTCACGGAAGCTGTCCCAATCCGCCGCCACACCGATCCGGTCCTCAGCCACCCAGACTTCCACCCAGGCAACATCTTCGTCTCCGCCGACGACCCCACCGTCATCGTGGGCGTCATCGACTGGCAATTCACCTGCATCCTCCCGCGCTTCACCCAGGTCCGCTGGCCGCTGTTCCTCGCCCCGCCCGAAGGCTACCAACCAGGCACCCCCAACCCGGAACTCGCCCCGACCGACAACGACGACACGCAACAAGCGCAGGACGAGGCCCTACGCGCCAAATGCTACGAGGCCGCGCTCCTCAAATCCCATCTGGAATCGTACCTCGCCCTTACTCAGCCGGACGTCGCCATCCGCCGCCTCTTCATCTCCTGCCCCTTCACCTACCGCGACGGCATCCTCCCGGTGCGCGACTGCCTGCTCAAGCTCTCGCAGCACTGGGACCACCTGCAGGTCAGCCAGGAGTGTCCGTACCGGTTCAGCGCAGCGGAGGTGGCGGCGCACGAGCAACAGATGGCCGAGTACGAGGGCTGGCTGAAGCTGCGCGAGCATACGCACCAGCTCCTGCGGTCCAATGACGGCGGGTGGGTGCCGTCTGGCGTGGACTTTGAGGAGATCCAGGCCCGGCATGACAAGTTGTATCGCCGGTTTGTGGAGAGCAAGATGGAGCGCATGTCTGAGGAGGATGCCAAGAGGCAGTGGTTTTTTCGTGATAGGGGATAGCATCGTCATCTGTACTGTCATTCTAGCAGCGACGCGCTTGCTCTAAGCATGGATTCTAGTATCAATGTTGATAATATAAGTGAAATTCAAGTCGTGTTGCCATCTGTCTACTTAGCAGCACAGCAGTATTGTCTTGTCAAAGGGAAACGACTTGATTGAATAGCAGCAAACAGGATACAATCGCTCAAATACTCATGTTATCGTGCATGTCTTCTTCACTGACTCTCCTTCAGGCCTAGATACCGCCCTGTTTTGAACAATCCCCAGGAAGAAGCCATGTACATTCAACTATCAAGAACAGAAACTGACCGAACCATGTCAATTCGTCGATCTACTCCACCTTAGCCCACTTCTTGCTCAGTTCCCACAGCCTTTCCTCCTTCTCCTTGTCAAACGTCCAACTGCCATAGCCATACTCGGCGGCATCTCCATCCGAAGGACAAGGACGCACCGCAACGGACGCTCCCTCCAGATACAAGCCCCCCCGGCCCTCCAACTCACTGGAGGTCGCACCATAAACAGAAGTCGCGCACGCCTGCCCCATGCTAGACAGATACTTGCGCATCTTCTCATCATTCAGAAACGCATCCATCTCCGCCCGCGAGTGCTTCTGCAGATTGGGACTGACAAACGCGCCAGGATGCACACTGTACCCATGCAGACCCTGGGCTCCAAACAACCGCTCAATCTGGTTCGTCATGTAAATGTTGGCCGTCTTGCCAGACCCATACGCCAACCAGCCATTATAGTTCCCCTCGAAATTGATATTATCCAGCTGGACAGGCCCGTAGCGATGCCCCGCTGAGGAGACATTCACAACGCGCGAGTGGAACGCCGCGCTCGAACTCTGCAGCAGAAGATCCCTCAGACACCAGAACAGCAGAAAATGCGCGAGATGGTTCGTCCCGAACTGCAGCTCGAAGCCGTCGTTCGTGCGCCCCTCGGGCGTATTCATCACCGCCGCGTTGTTGATCATCACGTTGAGCTTGCTGCTGCGCTGGCGGAAGGTGTCTGCGCAGGCGCGTACACTGGCTAGATCGGTCTGGTCCATGTAGAGCAGGTGCACGCGCCCGGTATCTAGCAGAGAGCCCAGCGCCTCTTTGGCTTTTTCGAGGCTCCGGGCCGTCCCGTAGATGGTTGCCCCCGTTAGGGCCAGGACCCGGACGGTTTCGACTCCGAGGCCGGAGGAAACGCCTGTGATTAGGATGACTTTGTCGGCCCAGGCGTTGACGAGGTTTTCGTCCTGGATGATCTGCTCGCCTGTAACTCGGGAGTCACCGGGGCCGTTTAGAACCTCCCATCTGTTTCTGTCGGCGTAGCGGCCGGAGAGTTGGAATGGGTCGCGTGAGGTGAGGGTCATTTTGTGGTTGTTTTCGAGTGTGGTGATGAACTATGCTTCTGAAATACGGATAGGAGATAGATGAGAGGCTGCATTGGGTGGTGTCCAGTTATAGGTGTGGTCGCAACGTGTTTCCTTGTCTAAAGCAGTCTAGAATGGTATCCGAGCTAAGCACACCGTCGGCCGTCCTATTATATAGCCTCGTTCTTTATCCCCTTCGAGACTAGACGAGAAACTCGCCATTGGGCTTGATCTTGAACGTATTATTAATACTCCCTAGTATGACAACAACCTGGTCAATGCTATTGTCTTATCGATTTGGTGTATCCCTGCTGTGTTGACCCTACTGTTATCATTCCTACAGCTAGAGATGGTTGTCTGGACGCCTTTTAGTTGACTGGTTGGATATGTCAGTGTACACTCTCAAGAATCAAGATGGCTGCAGCATTGCACCACCTCCCAGCACAGATTATACAAAGGATTTCGAGATTTCTGAGCTTCCATTGCAGCGGAAAACACCTTCCGGAACCGCCAGATGCATATATTCGTTGCGACCGGCAGCAGGGTGACCAGCCAACCTGGTCCTCTTTGAAGCTCAGACACTGCTCTCGCTGTGTTTGGTATTTGTAACGACTTACGCAGCTTCTCTTATGAGGCGACTAATTGCCCCTTTACGGGATATAACAGTTCATACGACTGCCGCGATCACTTTCAGCTGTCAAATGCGGTGCGATATCTCAGCAGCCACCGCAACGCTCGAATCAGTGCATCTTCATCTTCGGAAGCGTGGTCACGCCCAGGATGGCCCAGAGCCCCGGGCTGTCTTCAGCTTCGAGAGTTCCTGCGCTGAAACATCTGTTTCTTAACTTGGACGAGTTCCACGCCGGTTTTGGGCATGGCCCTGCAGGGGATCCAGAGCTCCTCGTCCAGCTTCTTCCCCTTGCCATCACATCGCTACATCTAGCTGGCATATCACTGATGAGCTCCCTCGCCTGGAGGAGAGCCTGCTTGGCCTTGGTCATGCTGCTTCGCGCGGCCAGTTCCCGAGGCTGGCGCAAGTTAGGTAGACCACAAGGAAAAACTGAGTAGTGAGTGTATTGTGAGGGCTATGTTTGCAGCTGCGGGAGTTAACTTTGGTTATGGCAGCTGGCCGATAACCAAGTCCACGCTTAGCGACGGTGTCAAGTCACCCATCCCCAATTATGTCGATCCATTTCCGTTGTTGAACCGGAGGAACCTGATCTTTGATCTCTGGCAGTGCGTCTGCTATGCAAGATCCACGACAACGAGCTAAGTAACTACATCATAGCATTGAGCTTCACTGTCCCCTCGACAGGTGCAACCCACTCTCTCCGCTTCGCACAAAAGACCTCCATCTTGGGCTCCCACTCGCTCTTCGAAGGCCCTAGATCCATTGTCCCGGAGGTGATCGTCACCATATTAGGGCTTAGGGACTCGCTGCTGATGAACAAGGATGAACCACAGTTGGAGCAAAATGATCTCGACAACGGTTTTCCCGATCCCGTGCTCTTGTCCTCGTAAACCCTCAGAGCATCTTCTCCTGTAAGAACCTGTAGTTGCTAGAGGTGGATCAGCTAGGTATTCCTGAGCGGAGGGTGCGGTACGTACATCTTTCAGGTAGAGGCTGTTTGCCATGAAGGCAGATGCCGAGGCTTTGCGACAGCTCTCACAGTGGCAGACGACGGTTGTTTTGGGGGCGCCGGTCACTTTGTAGCGGACTGTCTGGCAGAGACAGCTGCCGGTCACGACGTCGGGGGCGGACATGGTCTAGATGCGGGCACGGTGGGTGTAGGCTGTAGCCTTTGATGGAGGATGTAAAAAAGGGAAAACCACTGATTCAATCTCGATGATATTCCAGTGACAAGACCATGTTGTAACTTTGATCAGGCAAGGCTGACATGGCGGGGTAGTTATCTAGAAAATGAGCGTCGCCGCCTAGCGTGACGCATATTGGTGGAAAATACTCGAAAGCTCTCGGAGATACCTTTCTGGAAGTGAGTCAAGTGACTGGAAAAGATAAGACGGCATTGTTGGTTTACGCACTGGATTGCGTACTTCCAAGCGGATAAGTCCACAGCTAATATCCCACACAAATCAGCTAGCTTAGCTACATGATATTACTGACACAATAGCGCAGTCATTATCTTCTGAAAGAGACATGAAGCAGTGTTGGTGACTGATTTAGCAAGGAGGCACTATACCTAATAGGAACACTAAGCCTGAGTAGCTGTATTAGGTAATTAACCTGAAAACGGGTAGCCTTATCTGGGAAGTTCAAAACAAAGGAACAACATAAAAAGTGATAGACTCCTCACAGAATGTGAACATCCTCCTCATTTCCAGCACTTATCATGCTGATATTACGATTATGACCCCAATCCCTACCTCACCCAGAAGTCGCCGACAACACCCAGAAACCTACCTAAATAAACAAAAATCGCAACAAAATGGCCAAAGAAAGACCATCGTCCGCAAAGACGCGCGCCACTCGTACCAGCAAGGAAGATATACTCATGAGCATCAAGCCAGAGCACATGAGCAACATCGCCGCAGGCAGGAAGAATCACGAGTACCGCGGCTACCTCCTCCCTTCTAGCGTCCGACGCCTTTGGCTCTACACAACAGCGCCCCTCTCGCGAATCGAGTACGTGGCGCGCATCTCGCGCGGCAAAACGCGCGGTGAAGTCGCCGAAGACGGTGGAATCGGCAACGCGGACTTTAATGCTGGGAGAAAAGTGTCGAAATACGCGTACGAGATTCTAGAACTGTGGAAATTGCGCGAACCGATCAGTCTCGCGTCGGCTATATCCAGCGGCTTCCTCAAGGGTCCTCCGCAGAAGTACTGCTGGGCCCCTGTTGCGCTGCTCGCGAATTATTCTCTTCCGAGACAGGATCATGTGTTTTGTAGAGGAGTTCAAGAAACCCCTCGTGAAGGGAGAGATAGATCCGGACCGGAGATGTCTGGGGATACGCCGAGTGTAGTTGGGAGGAGTAAAATATCTGATTTCTTCACGCCTTTGGGTTCGGATGGTTAGTAGGGTGGCGCAAATCTGGGTTCTGTTGGCTTGTATCTCGCGCATTAATCAGTGCTTTCTGGCGTTGGGTTACATTATGGGTATTGTTAAACTAATTTGGGTGGCCAAGTAGGCGCATTCCCCTTGATATCAGCTGCATATCTATATAATCGACAGTGTAGTTCCGGAAAAGCTTGTACGGTTGATCAACCCAGTCTTGTGCTTCCTCAAAAAGGGCCTCAATTCCCCCCTCGGTCTCCAGAAATGCGTCAGCATCCAGCAAGTACCGACGGCCGGCATCGATTAAGTATTTGTATCCGTTTTCTCGGATATACAGGCTTTTCGACAATTTGGCTCCGGACCAATCGAGTATCAAAGGCGTATAGAAGATGACCGGAGCATTTTCAGGATGCTCCAGCAGCCGCCACGTCAGCTGCTCCTGGTAGAAACCCGAGTAGTCAGATCCAGTACACATGATCCATGAGGTGTCCGTGTCACGGCTGCAGAGGAGAATCCTTATCAGGTTGCGGAGCGGTGTGTTGAACTCGAGCCGCTCGAGTTCGTGAGGTGATGTCAGGTCTATGTGATGCTCTCCATGGTCAGGACACACGAAGGTGATTCGACCGTCCGCATGATACTGATTGTTGATGCCATGTTTGTCTGCTAGTCCGCAATCCTTGTGTGGGCACGGCGCTCGAATAGCCAACTTGCCTGTCTCCGGGGACATTTGGGGTCCGAGAATCCTGTAACGCTCGACGAGACCCTGGAGGATGTTGGGAAAGGCCGGATTCGAACGCCAGAAACTCTGCGTCTCAAACTCATACGATACCCCTGAAAGTTCAGACAAGCGACTTAGAACTTTGGCGAATGCCGTTCGATAAGATTGAAAGCCCCCCGTCTGCTTTAGGCTTTTCTGATACTTCACGTCGTTAATGAGGAACTCCTGCCCCGGAGTCGGGGCGCTGTCCACGAAAATGAACTTGACCCTAACGTTCCGATCAAACCTTCTCTGCAAGGCGGCCGCGAGCGCAAAACAGGTCGCAAACGTAGTTATATTACCCACATGCGGGCTGCAGTTCGGCTGCGACCCGACATGCAAAGTCACTACCGGTTGAGGGCATCGGTTATCCAGATACGTCAGGAGGTTCTCCTTAAAATAATACGACCCAGCTCCCAGTGGATGGTGGGCAACTCTGTCATGCGGTATCATAGTGTGGAAGAAGAGCAGAGCGCACTGTAAATAGCGGGAACGCAAAGGATCAGGCCAGATGTACAGGTTTTCAAGTCATCGCCAGCTCGTCGAGGCCCGATCCGCATGAGGCCGCAATATATCAGCACCGGCGCTTATTAGCTAAGCTGCTGATCAGTGCGATTTGTTACCCTGCATATGGTCACATTCGTCTACATAACTGTTCTGACACGCAGGGCAATGATCCTCTCACGGCCTTGCCAGGGGGCTATACAAATAAATGTCGGTAAATACAGGCTAAGTGTTGTACTACCGATCAGCTGAGGATCATCAGTCTTACCAGGGCAATGGGCCGTGGTTGGCTCAATGACTAATAGGAGTTCGTAGAGGATTTGGAAATCTCGCGGGTAATGTCCGCCGTCTATTCGCCTATATGCAGTGCTGGCACACTGTGATGCATTGGCTAGCTGAGCGTCAAAGGTGGGTCTGATAGACAATGTCAACTACTGAGAGATGGTAGTGCTAAACCTGAATGGGGGAGTTGGTAGAAACAGTGGCCCCTTAGTAAATACAAATTGTACATGGCCCAAGGCATACATATCGCCTGGGCTTAGCACCTGTGATTGGTCTTTTACAATAATGACTGGACACATGGCAAGAACGCTTGTTGGTGTAGCAAATATACACTCCAATAGTTCTAAAATATGTCAGAAGTGCTACGATGGCCACCCTTATGAGATATTCTTCCTGAACTGCATTATGCTCCTACTGGCTGCCCTCTGCCTCTGCCTCTTCCGGGGCCTGGTATGGCTTGCTCCCATCCCTGCCACCGATTTCTGGTCTCCTCCATTAAGTCCTGCGGAGTTTTACCCTCTGCATTCGGTTGGCTTATCATTAATATAGCAGTCTCCTCCCCAGCAGCCTCCTGCAGAGCACGCATCATCTCATCCTGAAGCTTGATCTTATTCTCAGTTGTCACTTCCTTATCTCTCCCATCACAGCGTATATGATCATTTAAAAAACCCCGCGCTGCCGCATGAAAGGGCGTCTCCTGTAGAGTATTCTGAGCCCGGATATCTGCCCCGTGCTTAATTAAGAACTTTGCCGCTGAGACCTGCCGCAGATTCTGGGCAAAGACATGTAATGCTGTTTTCCCATTGTTCTCAGCATGATTGATATTAACACCATGTGACAGTATTAGATCTAGGAGTGTGGTCTCAATAGGGTCACCTTGATGGGAGTTATATCCTAGTAAATGTAGGATGGTACGGCCAGAGCCATCAGGGATCCGGGGGTCAGCCCCATATTTAAGTAAAGTGTGGATAGCAAGCTCAGCATGCTGGCTATAGCCACACCTAGCATGGCTTATAGCAGCATAGTGCAGTGGTATGGAGCCAGTATTGTCAACAAGGTTAATACCAGTAGAATCATGGTCAAGGAGCAGTTGAAGGGTCTCTGTGATTCTGTTATCCAGGAGTTGACAGTTAAAACCTCCAGGGCCGCTAGCTGCCCAGTGCAGTGGGAGTCGCCCATCACTGTCACAGGAGGAAGCCAGATCAGGGTTGGTCTTGTAATGTTGATGATCCAAGAGCAATTTAACAGCATCAGAATTATAGAATAAACTTGCCAGATGGAGCGTCGTGACATCATAGGCATGACCCTTTGTGGTCCTGAACTGGGGATGATGGAAGTGTTGATGCTTAAGGTAGATATCGGCACCGGAGTCAATGAGCCGTTGAATTAATGGACCATTAGCCCTCGACACAGCAAGTCCAAGCACACTGTCTTGCACCTGACTGGGAGAGAGATCATTTGGCAAAGGGGGAACCACATCTGTCGCTGAACAGCCCCGGTCAAGAAGGAGATGAATCAACTGATGGCCCCTTGCAATCCGATCCCGAATCCACTCAGTCAAATGGAGACCCTCATCTTCTACTTCTGTGTCGTAGTCAAGATACATCAGCGACCCCGCAGCCGCGAGGATCGGCGTATATCCGGAGTCATCTCTCTGATGCAAATCCACGGTCCCGAGTGGTAACTGATGGCTGTCCAAGATAAAGCGCACCACATCAATGTTTGCCGCACCACATGCGTCGAGTAGCAGACGGAACTTGGGGTTGAATCTCTTGACAACTTCTGGGGACGCAGTGTACACCTCTAAGATGATGTGAAGAGCATCAGGACTGCCATATGAGGCTGCATTAAACAAGGTGTCCTCCAAGTAGGGTGTTCCAGGGGCGATCACATCCTCAGGAGAGCATGAGGCAATGAACTGACGGAGTTGAGGAAGGTCATTCTGCTTGATGATGTTCACGAGGCGGTTTCTGCGCCTGCCGATCATTTGAGAGGGGGATTCCGGGGGGTCCAAGTCTGAGATAGGAGAATCGCTCTCTGCCATGATAATTTATTCTCCTTTTGTTCTTTTGTGTTGTTTTTCTTCATATATCAGTAGGTCATTTGTGGAAAGAGAGAGTGTGGGAGAGAAAGTGGGAGATGGAAGAAAGAGAGGGAAAGAAAGAAGACGAAGAGAGGTTGCAAATATCTTGATTACCGATACTTGGCCTCAACGGTATATGCCACAAGCTCTCGATTAACATATCTGGCAGAGGCAGACTACAGTCTGCCCTAAGATTAGAACTGGGAGTAATTTTCACTAACAGTACTCATAATAATCTTATCTTCAAATAGGGGCATCTTTATCAGTCAAGGAAGTTAGGTCACTGTCCCTTCGTCCATCCCCACTAACACCATTGCGATTTGCGTCCTAAGAGCTTCCCACACCACCACATGCACTCTTAAATGAACACTCTCCTGTCTTATCTTGCCTATAGTATATATCCAGAACACAGATATGGAGAGATCTAAAACAGGCTAATTGCAGTGTGCTTAACCAGCACCATAATAAGCATATAATAAGATGTTATCACAACTAAAACATTTAGGTTAAATAGCTTATAAATCTACCATCACTGCCGAACTTCTCTTACAATCCTTTGGGCATGTACTAATGCATCTTGGATTACACGCACCCTCTGCTTTAACTCTTCTGCGTGTCGGGGGTCCTGGCCAGCCTCAGATGTCTGTCCCTCTACTGTGAGTGAAGCTCGCAAATCCCGAGTAATATTCGCGACCTCTTCCCGAAGCTTTTGATCGAGCTGATCAAAAGTCCTCTCAATAAGCTCACGATAGTCAGCAGTCAGTGTGTTGGCGAACTGCACAAATAAAGCCGAGGATGAAAGATGTCGGTTTATGGTTTGCTTGCGTCTGGCATCGCTGCCCGTTCCTAGAGTTCGCAGTGCGTGGTTAGTCCAAGAGAACGTGGTTGGGAGTAATGTGAGAAACTAGAATTCTCGATATCGTACCATATTGCTCCCTGCAGATGTTATACACCGGACGCATGACGCCCGCAATATAGGAGCTGGCGTGTCCGGCTATTGCGTCGGACTTGGTTTTCCTGATAGGAGGTCAGTCATGCTCCGAGTTAGATAGAAGCCGTGGGTAAGTCACTCAGTTGCACAAAATAGGTCATCGAAGGAGCTATGGATGGCGTCTAGTATACATCTTTGCCGCGTTTTAATATTCAAGCGCAAATTTCCCAGACTGTCCGGTGCTATGTCATGGTGTTCTAACGAGCGTAGTCAGCGAAACAAAACTTGCGTCTGTCGCCTTTCTTGAGGCTAGTTGAAAGGTGGAACTCCTACCTTCAATCGAGTCACAAACGTGCTGAAACATACTTGACAGTCCTTCCTCAAGGTCATCTCTCTTCTCTTCAAGCCAACCAAGCATGGTATCCCATCTGGTGGAGAGCTGATCACTTCCCTGACCGAGGATTTCTTCGTTCCAGCAGCGATAGTCTTGCTTCGCCGGTTGGTGCGTCCCATAGTTGCGACACCAAGCGGCGTACGTCGAATGGTGCCACTGGCAGATCCCATCAGTACAAAATTATATGCTATTTCATCCGGCTCTTTGACTTACGGTTGCCCACTCCCTGCTCGCGCCGACTGCATGATCTCTCCAAATGTTCCGAGAGTTGCCTGCGCCGGGGTTACTATGAAACCTCTCGGAAAGCTAAAGGAAGGTTCGACACGGACGTATAGTTTGTACAATCAAATCACTAAACTGTCGCTCTAGACTGTTCTGCGCAAGGCGGACTCCCGATCGAGGAGAGACAATGCTCTAAAAGGCGTCAGCAATCATGCTCTCTTGACCATCACTTTACAGCCACCAAAGCAGTTCCAAGCTCGACAGAATAAAGAAGGAAGCCGCGGCGCGAGAAGACAGTCACCGTACCCGTTGGAGAGTCTGTTCGGCTTCATTCAAGGCGTCGCGCAGGACTTCAGCCCGGCTTGCAGTAACAAAATCAGAACCCGCTAATGCCCATTGAGTTAGGGAACCTAGAAGCGCGGGTACTTGATTTTGCAGAAATGATTCCGTTGCACGAAGCTGCGCATCTGCCGGAACGGACTGACAATAGCGACGAAGCTCCGTGATGCCGCTGAGCTCGAGGTATCCATTGGCTTGCTCGGGATCGTTTGCACGATGGTCTGAGTAGAGCTTGTTGCTCACGCAAAATATTCGGGCTTGGCTTCTCCAGGCTCGCGATAAAGCCTCTGTTACACGCCTATTCCGTCTTAAGATGAGGAACCGCTTGAGTCTGACCAGCATTCGGTCAGCACAAATATTCAATCCGTGCAACAAGCAAGGGGTCGACCTACTCGAGCTCCAGCGCCTCTTTCTCATCGCTTTGGTAATGCCACCGTTATGATGTTGTCCCAACCGCAATAGATCAGGCTAACTTACCGAAGGGTAGTTTCCTCCGCAGCGAGATTTTGATTTCTACTCCCGCTGGCTTGTCGTCTACGGGACCGCGTATGCCTGATGCTTTGTTCGAGGGTCTGAATTCGGCTGTCGAGATCGAGGATACGTTTGGCGTCACCCACAGAGGATGTCCGTGCCGTCTCTTTAGCATCCACATCCTGGAATTGTCCCGTTAGTTCCTGTCCGATTAGGTTGGGACGGGGAAGCCTGCCTCTGAACGAGTACAAACGATCGGTATCGGTTGACCTTGTGCACATCGGCTAATGATATCACCAATCGACTGGTTCGTCGTACAACGAATGATTGTACTAACAATGAACACCTCGTCGCAACTGTGACGAAGATACCTTTCTGTTGCTCGTTCTCGAGCATAGTTCAGATCCCGAAACCCTGAACACATGTCAATCACTCGATGTAAAATGATGCAGAGCCAGAAATGCCTTACCAGGGAGGTCGGCCAGGACTAAACCAGTGCGCAGAACCGGCGACCGCAAATAGACCCTAGTCGCCGTTAGACACGCATAAAAACACTCAGCAAACTGGATTCTCTCTCAAAACTGATCAACTTGACAAAAGGCCATATAGCCGGCCTATCATCGTCCCTCGAATCAGCCATAAGATTATCCAGCTGCTCCATACACTCATCAGCATGGCGAGCCACAACGGTATACCGAAGACTGTCGCGTTCCCCAGGACGGTGGTCTAGACCAGCCATTGCCCACTCTTCCAATGTGGTCACAATAGACTCTACCGCATCTTCTCTGTCCGTAGAAAGAAAGTCAAGCTCAAGTCCGGGCTGGTTAGGGAAAAGTGAGAGTAATGTGTCCCAGGCTCGCTTGGCAGCAGCCTTTATGTGCTCTTGTTCTCTTGCGTCAACAACTTCCCGATAGGCATCCGTGTAATATTTCCTGACGTTTGAGAGGAGCTCCTCAAGAAGCTCTCAAATCTCGGCATTATCCATGAAATCAGCTTCGACGGTATAATCTTGCGGATGCTCCTCGTTTACACTTCGAAACTCTGTAACGACGGTGGTGCAAGCAGCTCCGTCTCCGCTCTGGCCTGAGGTCATTCACCGGGGGCGGAAAACTCGAGCTTTGACTCACCGACCGAGCCAGACCCTCTTGATCAAGGATAGAATTGATGAGACTACTCTTTCCTGTCGGCTTGATTAGCCTTTCATCTCCTCGCACCCTAAGCCCTGAAAGCTTACCCATTCCCGAGTCGCCAATAAATCCAACAGTCCGCGTGGCGGGATATGCGAACCCGCTCGCTTCGAGCGTCTGTTTATACAATTCATGAAAGGCGGTCGTGGGGTCTTGTGCCACCTCGCACCTACTCATAACTTGCGCGAGCTCTGCGAGCTGGCCTGTCACGTTCCGCAGAGCATTCTGGAGCCGAATGTCGTAGATAGGCACCTGGGGAAGTTCCTCCTGGCGGATATTGTAGAGACAATCGTCGTTGACATTATCTTCATCACTATTATTGTCAAGCAGTGAGACCTCGTCAGATTCAGGATCGTTATCACTGAATCCCCGACCTCCGGATCCCCCGAGTCCGCTAGGTTCAGGTTCTGCAAGTGAGCGTTCACAACGCCAAGTGGAGACGTTGGCGTCCGTGGTGCCCGTTGGGTGGGCTCTGCGGAGGGAGCAACCCCTGGACTAGGAGTGGCATTGTAGAGGTCCCGGTAGGTTGTATGATGAGTGCTTGGGGTCAGCCGGGACTCTCTTGGGCCACTGCTAGGGTTAGTCTCAGAGCCATGATTTTGATGTCTCGTGGTTTCGCTCAGACACAAGTTCTGGAAGAGGGACTGGGTGTTTGGTGTGAGGGAGCGTTGCTCGACTTGGGGATCAAGCGAGCCATCTATGGAGGACACTGGGGTCAATCTACCTGCAGAGGAGGGGCTGAAGGTAGAACATGGTCTTGAAGCGGGTTGGATGAGGCCCTAGGGCTCCTCAAGGGAGTCCTGGGACCATCCGGGTAGTCGACGTTAGCAGCGTTGTCGCGCATGATTTTCCCTTCAGTAGGTATATACTCTTGACATTAGAACTTAATCTGACTGCGGAAAGATCCTTTTATGTGGAAATTATCTAGACAGACTAGGCTGACTTGAGTGGGGGCGCTATACAGCGCGAGCATCTCAGACTCAGTGGTGAATGATGCTGCAGGTTGCCTGCGCCGCAAAAAGAAATTCAGAAGCAGTCCACCTCGGCAGATTGCGCCATCGTATATACAACAGGCATCTAATTATAAGTAATTCTGCTAAACATTAAATCTGAGAAAAGAACCCCTGGCCGAAACAGCAATAGCATTCCACAACCAGGGCTGACGGCCCTACGTTCGTCCACGTAGGGTTATCTGCCCTAGCTAGATACCCCACGTCTTTCGCTCTCTTAGCAGTTCTAGGTAGCCAATTCATGATATCATTCCAGTCCATCCTCCGAGAGATAGTGTGCCCGGTTTTTCCGAAGATAAGATTGTAGACCTGGGATCTGGAATACGTACAATGTTCCGAACGACCAGAGAACGTTGTGTATTGTGAGACTATGAACAGGATACCCTTCACGTTGTACATGATAGGCGGTTTATTGTGATATCTGATTCCAACACATGATATATACGGTTCATGAGGGGGAATGCAGCAGTGTCGCATGAGCTGGCGCTCCCGGAAGATACCACTACAGAAATGCCAGCATATAGACGCGTCCAGGAACAGTCACTAACTCTGGCTTGTATTATGATATAGTGGCGGGTGAAGGCTGCAATATGATTGCACAAAATTCTCCATCACATTCAGCTAATTCCGCGTGATGGAACCTCAGCTCAATGCGGACTGTATTACTTCTCATGTTTGCAGCAAACCTTTTGACATCTTCACACTTGCATTTTTGGAAATCCTCTCCGTAGGACGCTGGACACCACAGCCCAATCCCCAGCAGCATGATGCATGTCGTAATATTCAAGATCAGTGGAAAAAAGAGAACAATGTCTTGAATGGAAAAACCACCTAGGACGAGCCTAGCGATGGCCAAGGAGAAGTCATAAGCCTTTTAGACATGACATGAAGTCTACGGAAACCGGAGGAAGAAGGAAGATAAAAATCACAAGAGCCTTTCTCAACCATGAGGTAAACCCAAGAATGCCTCCATAGATTATGATTGTGATCACCCACGGAAAGCTAAGCAGCAATGCAAGAGGGTGAAAAATGTTATGTATTGTAGATTGTAGGTTGTACGTTCGAATGTCTTCTCCACATTCCTCCCTGGCGGTTGGCAGTATCTCCGGGAATATACTTGGATGGAAGAGCGGATATTGCGGGGATATCGTCAGATTATGTAAACAAAGGATGATGTGGTCATAGATTCGTGGCGCTTGGTGGCTGGCATTGAGGACAAGCCTAGACACAGGTCTGGAGGAGATTTAGAGAGTTTAGAGAGGTGTTAGCGGAAATTATATAAACTCGGTGGGTCCACTAGCTGGACTAACGTTGCTCTCAACAACATCGCTCCGAAAATCTGATAGTAAATCCAAAGTTCAGAATGCCGTTTCCTACCACAAAACCCACCCTTCACTACTTGGACATCGGTTCCCTTGGCCGTGGGGAAGTTATCCGGTAGGCGTAGCAGTGCCGATTTGTGCGTCGAATGGAGAACAGTCGCTGACCAAGAACACCTGTTTAGGCTGTTTTTGAGAGACGCCGGGGTCGATTTCGAGGATGTTCGGTACGCTTATGATGATTCCTGGCCAGCAACCAGCGCCGAACTCAAAGAAAAGGGACTGTCAGTCACTGGCAAAGTACCTGTGCTTGAGTATGAGGGAAAGGTCCTAAGACAGGTAAATTTGCGTCATATGCAAATTATAGCACTTGCTGACAGGGTGCAACAGCATCTTCCAATTCTTCGATACCTAGCCAGGGAGCTCGGCTCATATGATGGCAATACTAGCATTGAAAAGTATCTCGTTGATGCTATTGCCGACATGTACAATGACTGGAGAGTAAGCCTGATTTTACCGAAGATCCAAAATAACGAAACTTGTTACCTGGACTGACAGAAGCTTTAGTTCCAGTGGGTAAAGAACAAAAAAGGCGTGACTGACGAGTATAAGGCGTTTGTCCCTAGCTATTACAAGGCACTGGACAAATTCTACGCGGAGAATAGTGGTCCTTTCCTTCTAGGGGAGAGGATCACTTATGCGGACTTTGCCGTCTATCAGTCCATCGACAACGACTCGCAGATTGGAGCTTTACCAGATGCTCTACCAGAACGTCTCACCGAGTTCAAAACAGCATTCGAAGGTCGGCCCCAAATTGCTGCGTATCTTGCGAGTCGTCATTAATCGTCAGCTGTGATGCCCATTGAGATAAGCTGTTGATTATGGCGTTCTGCTTTGTCTCTTGGCTTGAGTCGAAAGAAAAGCACTCACAGAACGCGAGTTAAAGCGCAATGAAATACAAAATTCCTATGCCTTTTAGGAGCATCCCCACCTCCTCTCTGTTGTGGTTTCGTTTCTTTGATGCGATTCCCACCGGTTCCTGCCTCTGGCTTGATAGGAAGACTTGGCTAGACTTGGCTTGTGGTAGTTTTGCACCTAGGTGGCCCAATTCTCAGCAAAGTGTGATGGTAAGGACGGATACGTGTATTTATCATCTTGAAGAATGATGTGGCAACTCTTGGGTCCTATCTGAAGATGAACGTCCATGATCCACTTCTTGACGTGATGGAACAGAGCTTGACTACTATTATCCTTAAAATGGCGAATGAAACCCCACTAGTAAACAAGCCATCATGTGGTTAAACTCAGTCAATAGGTGCCCCCTGCCCTCGATTGGTGATGATGACCATGTAGCCAAGGCCATCTGGGGCGAGAACTCCTAGGCTGATCACCACTAGGATCTTCAAAGCTTCTCTTTGCTCAAGGCAACAGCCCCAAGCTTGAGCACCCTGACAGCATTTCCGCCAAAGAAATCTGCCTTGACGTCGTCCCGAAGTTCGATATCCCGGTTCGCTGACTCGACGCACTTGCTCCAGCTTAATTGGGGGAAGTTTGTTCCAAACATGACCTTTTTCCTTCCGGTGGTGTTTGCAAATTGTATCAGTTCCTGTGCCGATGTCAATGTCAGTGAAATTCCCCACGGATATCACTGCATACATATGTTACCTTTGGATAATATTTCGGTAGATATGCTGAAGTGTCGATGTACACATTCGGGTGCTTCCACGCCACACCGATCATCTCTTGTGTCCAGGGAAAACCAATATGTCCACAGATAATTGACAGCGAGGGGAATGCCAGGGCCACCTCGTCGATATACTGGAATTTATCAGCTGGCTAAATTGCCTTGATGGGATGGCATTCTTGAGGGACTTTACAGGTACTGGTCGGCCAACTTCGCTTGGGCAGAGGGGGCCAGTATGTCCGACCTGGGTGAGCTGAAACGAAACAATACTGGTTAACTATCCTTCACGGTCATGAAGTTGGCAGTAGAAGGTACTTACGAAGGGAATATTGAGCTTGATGCACTTGACATAGAGCGGCCAGCTACCCGCAGACGTCTTAGCTGACTATTGAGCATTTTCTGCTTAATGTGATAATTAACTTACTAGTGCTTGTCTGTTGGTGGTAGATTCCAAAGCCATGGCACCACGCGAACACCTTTAAACCCTTCAACCTTGACGTACTTTTCCACCTCTTGCACGTAGCTGACCGGATCATGCAGATCGACACCGGCAATCCCGATGAAACGGTCAGGATAGGCGCGAGTGAACTGCGCCACGTCTTCGTTGGAGAAGACTACTTGCCCTGGTCGGTACCATGCGCAGAGGCATATCTTTGAAACCCCCGCGGCATCCATGAGAGCGACGAGCTCATCGGGTGTCCGTCTCCGGGATAGCAAGCTGCTATCAGCATGAGACTGTTCGAATAGACGACGGACCTCCGGTACGCCTTCCTATTATCATGAGATCACGATTAGCCAGGGAGAATTCATATTAGGGCGAATTTGACTGCTAGCATTGTTTGAAGTGCAACTTGATTGACTCACGTCCAAAGGGAGGACGGGGTTCGCCCAAACGTCAATGATGGGGAAAGACATTGTCTGCTCCGTATGGCAATATTTCAGGTAATGACTAGTATTCTCTAAAGTGATAGCTGGATTAAAAAGAAGAGAGAGACCCGGTGGCACCACAATGTCAACGTTCCCCCATGCTTGGCCGCAGTAACAGACGAATAAAGTACCTCGGCTCATCGATTGTGGGCCTGTGGCTGACTCCCGAGCTACAGACACGAGTGGCGGTGATTAACTCGACTCTCTAGACATCTGGGTTCAAATGCAAACAAAGAGGACTCATGGTCACAAGGAATCCTGTCTGTATGTATGACCAGATTCATTCTTATCGTGATACATGACTGGTTGGTTGGCAGAAACACGCATCTAGCAGTTCATGGTTCCTGGGTGCAGGCGCTCCTGCACCACAGCATTAAAGAAAGGTAACACGTCAACCTCCGAGAATGAAAGAATAGACTCCTCGTCCGGTACCGCCGCGCGGAGCTCGGCTTGAAGATGCTTGAGTACAGGAGGGTTAGCCAAAAAGGTGTACACAGCAGCAGTGAGTGTGAACACCGTTGTACCCTCGCCGTCGAAGATGACCAGTTGAACCTCACTTGCCAACTGAGCATCTATCTTATCAGCAGGAGGAAGAGTACTATTGAGGATACCCTTAGAAATCATGCTCTTGATTTTATCAGGGTTTGGAGAATTCCTGATCTCGCGAACTTGGTCAATCCACCACTTACATAAAGATTAACTTGCTGCGGGCTTGGGAGAGTGCAGCACCTGAGTAATACATCCTGATTTCTTATCCACAAGCTAAGCCAAACTTGGCACTATGGCCTTGACCAACCAGCCGGGGGTCTTCTGCAGTAAAGTAGTGAACCAAAGGGAAGAATATCATGATATGATTCAGCCTAAAAAACATGTTAGTTGCATCAAAATTGGCCTCTAGAAGTTGGGCCGCTCCAAGAAAGTAAAACTGTCACCAAAGGCATATTAGGGTGATCACATCGCTAGTGCAGGCTTTGGACATATAGTGAATCTGCACTGGGGGGAGAGCCTGCTCACTCCTTAAGTCATTCTAGATGACTTCTCATGGTAGCTCAGATTGAGCTGCACCACAATGACCCTGAATGCATTGACTTGGTCCTTTGCAGGCCCGTCCAGGAAGACCAAGTGTCACCCAAGTCTGACAAGAAAAGTAGGAACCCTAACCCATACTATCCAAGGGATGGAGAGGTTCAGAGCAGGATAATTATTAGTTAGGTGCGCCAAGTCCCTATATATATAGCTGCCCTCCTGCACGCGCATGCACAGCAGATACTTTCTTTGTTAAATAATTAGAGCCCTTAAATATAMTAGAGGTGACTAGAAAGGAGAAGCACAATGTTGGCAATTCTATTAGTTAATGACACTCAGCAGATCATCCAATTAAGTTACATAAATACAGGTAAGAAGAACTGTAGCAGCTGGGTTGTTGTGGGTGTATCTAATTGAATCTAAGGCTGATAGAGCATATCAAGTGTGGATATATCTCCATAAAGATACCTAGCCCTAACCAAAGCACACATCTATGCAAGATTTCTCTTCTAAGATAAATGCATAGCTAACCATATAATACTCTATATTACCTTAAGTAGTCTATGGCCCAGGGTCACCTGATTCCTAACGTATGCTAAAAAGACCACCATATCCGCTGAGGCGGATATGACCCAGGACCCAATATATGCAGCATTGCAAATTTGCAACTGTCATGCCGCTCCATGGCACACAGCGTGTGTTACTTCGCTGCCCAGAGTAGCTCCCTGAGCAGACAGTCCATTTGATCTCCTCTTGCCTTTCGATTGTTTCATATGCTCCGACGATAACCACACTGCTGCCTATTTCTGCCTATTTTCCTTTGCCTCTTAAATCACGTGCAACCCCGCAAACTCCAGCGAACTGGCAACTATTAAAGCTAGTATGCTGCAACAAATATGAACCTGTCATCAATTCTTCCCTTATACTTCAAGACGTATTTTGGCACATCTGCTATCACAAGTCATTCCACTCCTTACTAGCACGCCACCACTAGCCTAATGCCCGTTGGCAAACTCACGACCTGCCTCTGGTTCGATGGCCAAGCAGAAGAAGCCGCCTTGTTCTACACCTCCATATTCAAGAACTCCAAAGTTACGGGGCGCCACTACTATCCCGAAGCCGGCAAGGAGTTCCACGGGCGCGAGGCCGGCAGCCTCATGATGATCGATTTCGAGCTCAATGATCAGAAGTTCGTTGGCCTCAATGGAGGCCCCCACTTTAAATTCACTATGGCAATCTCTATGATGGTCAACTGCAAAGACCAGGCCGAGGTCGACTACTACTGGGACAAGCTCAGCGAGGGCGGCGATAAGAAGCAGTGCGGCTGGCTGGTGGACAAGTTTGGCCTGTCGTGGCAGATTTTGCCTGACGATTTCCAAAAGATGCTGAATAGTCCAGAGATAGAGAAACGGGACCGTGCGTATGTTGCTATGTTGCATATGGAGAAGCTTGACATAGCCGGGCTACGCAAGGCTTTCGACGGGGAATAAGCTTCCTCCTTACTGGATTTCTCTGCTTGAATAAGTTGACGTCAATACTCACCGTAAAAGTTAATACTCGCGACAGGCAGCGAGAGAAGTCGAGGCGCTCAAGAGTCTGGCGCGGGATCAAATAAGCCGTGATATATGTATTAGGTGTTTACAGTATCTGCGTCCTTGCCGTTGTCTTCCTTTTTTTATTGGTGAGTTATATTACAGAAATAGGAGTGCCTATAATACATAGGAGACATGCGGGTGGAAATGCAGTCCTATAATAATTCTCTTCGTTACCCCTCCGTTTGCAAAAGCATCTGATGTTGTGAATGACAACATTACATATGATATACTTGATCTAGAAGGGATTCAGTGCCCAGAAAGGAGGTATGAAAGTCCCTGAGAATCAAATGTGAAAAATAGCACCTGTCCTAAATCACAACCCAGACCTATTGTCGAGTCTATTGATTCACACATACGACCTTCAAATCACTCCTCCTTTTATGGATGGATGCACTTCTATACAAAGACACTTGAGTCGCGTAAGATATATGAACATGGCAACTGGCAAGGGGAGAGGTCAAATCAAGAAACAAAAAGAACTCGGAGAAAATTTAGCCTGTCCTATAGTCTCTGCGCCATGTTCCTATGGCTATGCGATTCAGCTAGGGTGGCTTAAAATAAACATTAAAATAAAGACCAACCAGTGCAAGACAACAACAACAACAATAATATAAGGCTTAGCTTGCACAAAACATATCCATCCTTGTGTTTATGCAGGTGATCTTGAGACCAGGCAGTTGAATGATGTGCAGTCAGAGATTGCCGATACTAGGGCTGATAATCTGTGCAGCTAGATTGTCTGGAGAATGGAGATGGACACCATTCATTACCTTAGTCTTTTGCAACTTGGGCTCCAGATGAGGGCAGCGCAGTTAAATTAAAAGAAAAAAATTCTAGCTCATGATGCTTTTGTCTCTTCTTTGGCAATCCGCTTCTTGTTTATGGATATATTCTTGTCTTGTCTGATCTGGTAGAAGTTGATCGTTGGATAACTCAGACTCTCCTGCTGTCACCTAAGCCTATTGTGGTGTCGCTCTCATCCTTCATGTTGGCCTGCTTAGGACACTGCTTGTCTTTGCCTGCTCGAATGGACGTCCAAATACAACTGGATAAGGGGGAGGCAACGTATACAGACCAGGACACAGTCTCTGGGCGCCTCATCCTTCGCACCAGATCATCAGTTGATATATCAGCAATACAAGTTACCCTCTCTGGCCCAGCATTGCCCAGACTTGGCTCAGGGTGCAAGGAATCGCACAAGGCAGGTTCTCACGATGGAACGGGCGCGGATTGTGCTAATTCCCCTCAGTTGTTGCAAAAGACGCAGCAAGTCTTCCCTCCTCCTTCTCCAGGAAATCTCGACGGGGGTTCGTACTTTACTCTCGGTCATGGAACATATGCCTTTTCATTCTCCATCCCAGTAGGCAATGTGCCCCTGCCTAAGATTTGAAACTTTGCGGCTTACAATTCTTTGTGATCTCTAGTTTCCTCAAGTCTCGGAATGCTGTAGAACCAGCACAGAGACAAATCTCTCTCGAGGCAGTTGTGGAAACCTACTGAAAAAGAATCACCAAACTATGCATTTACTTCGGAGACTTCCACCCTCCACCGTTAATGGTCGAGAAACCGTTGGGGTAATCACTTACTCGCTAGAAGCAATTATCAGGACTGCTGCGATAATCAGGGGATCAGAGATCTTCACAGTTGAGCGTCCCTGCGCCATATTGCTCTCGTGAGCCGGAGATCTGAGTCTTTTCTAGTCTCGAGGTATAACCTTCTGTCCGGTTACCGACTTCAACCCTCCCTCACATACCCTCATAGAGAGACGTTCAGTCATCCTCAACCCGGGAAACCTAGAGAAACCCATACCGACAAGTTACCAGATTGATGTCCGACTCTCGGACGGAGCATGTCTCCTCCTCGGCGAGCCCATCCCTCTGACGGTATACATGACGAGAATCAACGGACCAGCCTGTGACCTCATCCTGAACGACTTCCAGTCAATGCTAATCGAAACAACCGAGGTACGAGCACGTGGATCCGTCGAAGCCAGCACACAACTCTACGTCCTACAAACAGTGAGCAACGTGTGCAAACGAGCCTATGCCTGTGGCACGCCAGCAGGATCGACAGTGAATCTTGTTGACGACCTGTGGAGACATCATCGGCTACCGCACTCGTTGACACCGACGTTCGAGACCTGCAATATCAGCCGCAGTTACAAGCTCCAGATCCGGCTTGGCTTCCGGTTTGGTTTGGCGAATGTAAGGCGGAACCTCTTTTTTTTCCCCTTTTATTCTTTCCAGATCAGGACTGAGCTGTGATTTCTCTCTGGGCCTAGGTCCTGACTAGGGTTTTGGAAGTTGAGTTCCCTGTATACATCGTGGCAGCTTGTCCTGCGAAGAACGCGCCTCGAGCTTCTTAGTCTTTCGAAGAGCATGCGACGGACACCTTACGGTTGACACAAAGCAACAAAAGACGTAATGGAAGGATTCCGATCTGGCTGAGAGAAAAATCTATATGTAGGGTTGCTTAGGTCTGATGCAGGTGCACGCATACTAGATAGGATGGCTATGGAAGACGCTATCCCTCTCCAGATTGAAGAATACCTTTAGCAAAATTTGAATTACAGAAATCTCGATACGGTCTAATGCAGCAGAGCCATGATTGGCATTGTTTCTTTATCTTGATATGAAGAAGCAATAGTTTTCTACCAGTTAGAGTCAGCCACGGACCATCGCGTGTCCTGCTGGGGAAAAGCGGATTCAAATGCTCTAGAGAATCGACTGTGCTTGCGGCTTCTAAACACATGATCCGCTATGACTCTACGGGATAGATAGTTATAATAAAGTCCTCGGTGTTAGTCGTAGAGGTTTAGAATCTCGCTACTGAGTGGCCATCCGGTCCTCGGCCCAGCGCTATCATTGTGACAGATGCTTTGTTTGGCTCTGCAGATATAGGATTCCCTTACAACTGTGTCTCATTGATTCCAGACTAACTAGCCAGGTACTACACTTGTTGTGGGAGAATCTTAACCCTACAGCTCCTCCACTATGTCCTCATTACATCAGTTTAGATGCAATGCCATCCCTGTCCCATGGAAGTCGTTGACAGAGATTGTCCCATTCCCATACCCTATAAGTCTCACCGATCCCAACCTCCTTCATGGGGAGTCTGATAAAGATGGCACAAGCATGCTTTTTAATGGGATCTGAATTGACCTTTTGTGTGTTGACGTGCTTCCGGGGTGTTCGTCTGTCTCTCCGTGGTGGGAATATAGGGAAGGGAGAACGAGAGATAGAAGGTTGCAGGGAGAAGGCTGGCTTTTTCAATTCGAGGTTCCAACGGACGAGCGAACCCTAGTTTAGGGCCCCCGTGACTTGAAGATGGCCTATCGTTGTCGTACTTGCCCCAGGCCAATGAAGCCGGCTGGCAGAGCCCGACGCCTTTGCGGTATGCTTATCGTCCTGCTGGAACTGTCTTGTGGACGGAGTAGCATGGTGGTAGCCATCCATTTCAAGTATATTGCAATCAGGCAGCCTCAGTAGGGGTATAATTCTTGGCAGAACTATTATTGACCACCTCTCCTCAAGGCTCTACCGCGATCTGCATATTCTTCTTCTTGCCCTTGGTGTATACACGCTTATCGTTCGGGTCGAAGCCACCATTACCCCAGAGCGCCCAGTCCTCGGTTTCCCTCATGTAGTCTTCGGGAGTAAAAGACGTGCCATCGGCCTTCTCCTTCTCCAAAAGCTCGAAGAATCGATCATAATCAATCCGAGTGTGCCATTTGCCATTGACGTGGAACCGTTCCGAGGCAATGAGCACACAGCAACTGTGCGCATGCTCCGCGGCGATGCCATACTTCAGGCCACGGCGCTGCAGCTCGGCGTCGAGGGCAGTGACGAACTGGGCGACTTCTTCGTAGAAAGGCACATTCTGCATTGTCAAGCCAGCTCCAGCACTCGTGCTTGTGCCACAGAACGTCACACCTTTTACTTCGACGAAACACGGAAGTGCCTTTTCCACCAGATTTGCGTAGCCGATGACTTCATCATCGACGTTGAATCCCTTGACCAAGGTGAGTCGGAAAACAGTGCGCTGGACATGGCGCTTCTCCCGTAGGATGTCTAAGCAACGTTGGAAGCGCTCCCAGAAATCCCGATGCAGAGGACGATCAATCTTCCGTAGACTCTCACGGTTGCTTGCATCAATGGACACGTATAGCTGGGTTACGCGACGCAGAGCTTCGAGTTGATCAGGATGTTGAGCATTGCATACCAGGAAGCTGGAGATGTGTTCGCCGTGCACCATGTCCAGGAACTCATTGATGTGCGGATAGAAAATCGGTTCGCCGACCAAACTCAAGGCACAGTGTCGGATGCGCATGGCCTCTGCGAATCTCTCGGCTCGCACACCAGGAACGCCACGCATCATCTTGATCTTCTTGTAATGGCCCTCCTTGATTCCCTGGAAGATCAACTCCGGAGAATCCACTTTCCAACGCCAAGTAGTACCGACTGGGTTCGTACCGTGGCGCCAACAGAAGATACACTTGTTGCTGCAAGACAGCGACGGTGTAGCCTCCATGCAAAGATGCGATCGTATACCGTAGAAGGAGAACTTGTAGCATGAACCTCGACCACGCAGCGCAGATTTAGTCCAACGGCAGATCTTGACTCCGGAGTGAGAGCCGACGATCGTATAGCCTTGTTTTGTTAGAGCAGCGTATGTGGGTGATGTCTTTGGAACCATCTCCTTTTCTGTTGGTTGACCAGAGGAAAATTTTCCTGTGGTTGTAAAATCCACGGGAATTGGCGACACGGCTGCATTTTGATCACCCCCAAACTTGATGTCCTCCAAGTCCATGACGTTTTGAGCATTGCTCTTGTCTACGTCTTGATCGTCCAATTCCTCGTCACTCTCAACTGGATCACCACTGCCAGGCACGCCTT